GCTGGGATATGTATGTATGGCAGTATGAGGAGGGGGTGTGGGTATGTGTATGGTGAGGTGTACATGTGGGACTCACTCTAAGAACATGAACACACACACACACTCCTTCCCTCATTGCCCACAACCCCCACCAGAGCAGGCAAAGCCCCCGCCAGCGCTCCTCCAAGTCCAGGCTCCATGCTCCTGCTGCTCCTGGGGCACCAGCGCAGGTCCTATGCTCCCACTCGCCACTGCTCCCCACTCCCTCCACCACCACATCCCAGCTGCACAGCCAAGATGGTAGGATGCAGCAGGAGCTGGTCCGGCACGGCACGGCTGGCACTGCATGGAGATAGCTGAGAATCGTGGGGATCAAGCCAGCTCCTGCTGAGTCCTGTGGTCTGGTGATGCAGCCAGAAACCATGTAGTGCCAGAGCAACTCTGTCAGGTGGGTGGGGGGTGGGGAGAAGCGGCAGAAGCAGGCAGGAGAGTGGGGAAATGGCAACAGCAAGTGGGTGGGCAAGTGGTTGCAGCTGCTGGGCCCCGAGTCCTTCCACCAGCTCCCCCTGGATCCTACGGCCGCTGGTGCCTTTTCATCTTTGACAGGCAGCCAGGGTCCGATAATAATTAACTTTCTACATTTTTTAGGGGCCCTATGGGCTGGATAGAATGGCCTGGTGGGTCAAATCTGGCCCGTGGGCCATATTTTGCCCGCTCCTGCAACAGAACTACTCTGACTTGTATAAGCTGAGGATCTGACTGAAGCCAGGAAACGTGGGATACAAGAAAACTGTCTGCCTGCATGCACACTTGATATTACATTTTCAAATGGGGAAAGGAATAACAATATGGTTGGTGGTGAGGAAGCAGAGTATTTTACAATGTCTTCCATAAGATGCCAGCAAGTCTTACCAGCATTCCATGAAGAAAGTAAAGTATATCATACAATTTCTCTGGTTAGTCAGAACATTTTAACTGGCCTAAATGTGGATTCCTCCAAAACAGTTCAATGTATGTCTTAAAATTGTATTTGTAGTCTTCTCGATTACAACACTGAGGCATCTTGGTTTCTAAAATACATCTTGTATAAGCACCACACTGTTTTTAAAGTCTTACTTTGCTAGTTTACCTTTAATCTCCCCATTTCAAAGTCACAGTTAAAGACACTGTATCAAGTCCTGCTGTGATTTCTATGACTCTATAACTTTCTGCAAGATCGCTACCAATAGTCACAATGACCTGTGATTGGAAATATATTTGCCAGAGGGAAGAAGGAAAAGTCTAATGATGTTATACTACCCAGAGCAGAGGGTATGCCTGAATACAAAACATTCGTAGATCTTCCCACTGCAACATATAAAGAGAGAAATACACCCATAGGAAGTGAAAAAAGTTATAGCGATGCAAAGCAAAAAACCCCAATGGTTAAAAGCGACTTAAAAAAAAAAAATCAAAAAAATCAATGGTACTAAAATGCATCTCATGTGTGCCCTACTAAAACATTGCTGCAGCAGACAAAGGCAAAACTGTAACAAACCATTCTTCAGAGCTCTGCGTGCTTTGACTTCATTGACAGGGGCCGATGGTCTTACAATTTCTTCTCCTGTCTCCCTCCCACTGGACTGTTCACTTGCTGTGGAGTCAGCATCTGATGGTGAAACTCTGTAGCCACAAAAAAACAAGTAAAAATGAATGAAAGGGTAAACATGAGTTTATTAAAGTTATATGGCCCTCAGGTACATAGACATCCTCTAAGAACATGGGCTGGTAGGTTTGTTAACTTTTTTTTAAAAAAGTATACTTATATAAAACAAATTACAGCATTTGAAATGTAGTCAGACACTCATTACTGTGAGAGTGTCGTCAACAGTGAAAAATAAAAAATGAGGTTATGGCAGCCCTGTGACATCAATCATACAAGACTGATGACAGGATTAAGTAAAGCAGCTATATAAGCAGTCTTTACTGCATATAAACATAGTTTTAGATGTAGCAGAAAGTTCTTAGCATTAGCAATGAATAGGATTGTTTTTTGACAGCAATGTAATCTGCAACTTGAAAAATAACATGGGGATACAGTGGCCTCGTTAACTTCATACTCTACAAACTGAAAATGCAAGTCCACGTGGCTAGATAGCCAATTAATGTGGGACCAACCATGACTGACATACTGTTTATCCAATATATTAAACACACAAAAAATCTTGGTGCTTACAAATTGTACATGCAGCTTGTTTAGGTAAAAATCTTTTTAGCATTCTTGTTCTCTCATCCTCTTTCCTCTGACCCTCTATTTGTTGCAGCTCCTTAAACTTGGCAGCTGAACTGCAGCAAGGATTCTTTTCCACCACAAGTGCTGAGTGTCTGAATCACACTTAGCACAATACTGTATCCATTTATGTGGATGCTTAGCACTACAGGAGTAATCTATTAATTTATTATTCCTCACACAAGTAATCTTATCTAATTCATTATAGGTACATATATAGCAGCTTAAGGAAATCCTGTGCTCTTCACCACCCATCTCTGAACTGCAAGAATATGTCAGCTACAAAAGATAAAATATAAAAAGTGTAATAATTATAATAGGATAGAGTACATTACCATCTGACTCATGCAAAAGCCTGTATTTTGGCAGATGGTAAGTTAGGGCAATAGTAAATATTTTATCTTGCAAATATGAATAGTTTTTCTGTGCACTGAGGAAAAAATCTCAAGGAGCAGAATATGAGGTCCACTAACCTTGCTAGACAGAAGATCTGTTATTCCTTAATGGCTATTTGACCTAGTTTTTAAAGTCTGAATCTAAGAAGTCAGCTTTCATAGACAGTGCAGCTAAGACGAGTACTACCTGGACAGGCAAAGTGATCAAAAGTTAAACCCACTGCTTGCACTAGGCCAGTGCTAATTATCCTCCCTTATATTCTATGCATATAGTAGCCCTGCAATCACATTACATCAGCAAAACCTTTTTCTGAAAAACTGGTATACTGGTTATTCAAACCCTAATACAAAATACTCATGGAAAAAAGAGGATTAATATAGCATGTGAAATCTGCCCCACTGCATCTTTTTTGCAGCTAGAAGAGCCTGCATAAACTGGGAAATGAAAACCAAGTTATGTCATTCCCTTTTGTACTCTGACTTGAACAGTACCGAGGGCACTGGGCTGTAATTTTATTCCTAGATCTGCTGCTGACCTGCTTTAGTACCTCAGCCAGGTCACTTCACCTCTACTTTTGTTCTCCTTTCTATCCTTTGTTTTCTCTATTTAGATTATCAAATAAATATTTATACACACAATGGTCTCGGTGGGCATTGGGACTCCACTAGGGTAGGTGCCATGGTATGGAAGGAATGCCTATATGCAAGCATGACAGCCCCAGCCTGAATTGGAAACTTGATGTGCTGAAGTCAGATGAAGTATATAGCTACTGGGACATTAGTTTGATTTATTCAGTACATACCTGCAAAACTGTATAACCAATAACAGAATAATCCCCTAACATACAATTTCATAGCATTTCAGCTTTTCCCTTCTCTAGCAAGTGGATGTTTTAAATGTCTCATTGACAGCTTCATATCAACATATCATGAAAGTGCTCAGAGTAATTTCATAGTTAACCTATGCTGGGATTTGCAAAGTAGAGGACAATCTCTATTCCACACTGTCATGGTTGAATTTAGGGTCCAAATTCAATGTTTTTTCAGCCACCTTTTTCAGCGAAAGCACTAAAAAAATCTCCCTTTTTGAAACTGGTTCCTTATTCCTGAGTCCTTCTAACTAGAGCAAAATGGTACCAGAAGTTCACAACTTTATCTCATGTGCCCACATTCTGATCTCATCAACAGCGGCGGCTACTTTGAAATTTTAAAATGAAATCCATGAAACACTGGCACCTCTTACTTAGGATAATATAACTGAGCTATACCAAATTAGCTAATTGAACAGCCAGGCTCCTTCAACAATTTCTGTGGTTCCTAGTCCTGTCAGCAATCCCCCCCCCTCCCCCCCGACACACGAGCTTTACCCCTTACAAAGCCCACAAGGTATGAGAAAAGCTCAGTATGTGGGAATCTGGGGAGTGGGCTCCAAGCAGGACTGCCTGGGGAAGAGAGAAGGTCAGGAGGCAGGACTCTGAGGGAGCATAAGCAGTTGAGCCAGGACCGTGATGGCACATAAATGGAGATGGGAGCAAAGCCCTTCCCTACTCTCTAGTACTCAGGCAGAGCAAGAGCAGGAGAGTGAAATGCTTCCATCAGAGACACTGATGTACTAAAGGCCTTAGATTCATAGATTGTAGAGTCGGAAGGGACCACAAAGGGTCATCGTGTCCGACCTCCTTCCCCTGCCAGGAAAGAGGACCGAGGTTAGATGACCCCAGTCATGTGTCTATCAAGCCTCCTCTTGAAGACCTCCAGGTTAGGTGATAGTACTACCTCTCTTGGAAGCCCATTCCAGATTCTGGCCACCCTTACTGTAAAAAAATTCTTCCTAATGTCTAACCTGAATCTACTCTCCACTAGTTTGTACCCATTATTCCCAGTTACTCCTACGGGTGCTCTGGTAAATAGTGCATCTCCAAATCCCTGTTGTCCTCCCTTGATAAACTTATAGGAGGCTACAAGGTCTCCCCTCAGCCATCTCTTGTGAAGGCTGAAGAGGAGATCCAGATCCCTCAACCTCCCCTCAGGGTCTTTCACGGAGACCACTAACCATGTGAGTGACCCTCCACTGGACCCTCTCCAGATTCTCTGCATCCCTCTTGAAGTGCAGCACCCAGAACTGACACAGTACTCCAACTGCCGCCTGACCAATGCTGCATAGAGGGGGAGCATCACACCTCCCTCAATCTGTTGGTCATGCATCTGCAAATGCACAACAAGGTGTGATTGGCCTTGCTGATGGCTTCATTACACTGCCAGCTCATGTTCATCTTGGAGTAAACTATGACTCCAAGATCCCTCTCAGCCGCTGAGGAGGTCATCTCCCAACCTATAGGTGTGCTGGGGATTCCTCCTCCCTAGATGGAGTACCTTGCATTTATCTTTGTTGAACTGCATCCTATTTTGTTCTGCCCATTGGTCCAACCTGTCCAGGTCAGCCTGCATCTGTTCCCTGCCCTCCAGTGTGTTAACTTGGCCCCATAACTTGGTATCATCTGCTAACTTGGAGAGGGTGCTCTCCACACCCCCATTCAAATCCCTGATGAAGATATTAAATAACACCAGTTCAAGGACCAAACCCTGCAGGACCCCGCTGCCCACCTCATTCCAGGCCGAGAACAACCTGTCCACCACCACCCTCTGGGTGCAGTCCCTAAGCCACTTGGCTACCCACCTAACTGCGTAAGTGTCCACTCCACAGCCTGCTGGCTTCCCTATGAGAACAGGGTGCAAAACTGTCTCAAAGGCCTTCCTAAAGTCCAGGTAGATGACATCAGCCTCAGCTCCTGTGTCAAAGCAGTGCGTGACCTGGTCATAAAAGGCTACAAGGTTTGTCAGGCAGGATCTACCTGTGACAAACCCGTGCTGGTTTCCTTTCAGCATCATTTTCCCTGCTGGGCCTTCACAAATGCGCTCTTTGATGATTTTTTCTAGTATTTTCCCAAGGATAGAGGTAAGACTGACTGGCCTAAAGTTACCCAGCTCATCCCTTCTCCCCGTCTTAAAAATGGGCACCACACTGGCCCTTTTCCAATCCTTGGGGACCTGGCCGGAGCTCCAAGAGTGTTCAAACAGCTGTGCCAGCAGCTCACCTATGGCACTGGCCAATTCCTTGAGCACCCATGGATGGAGGTCATCCGGGCCGGCTGACTTGTACCCATCCAACCCCTCCAAGTGCTCCTTAACTAAGTCAGCACTAACCTTCGGCAGTCTGGTGTCTTTTGAACATCTGCCTGTGCTCAAGGTGGGGGAATTGTCTTGGTCAGTACTTAGGAATACTGAAGCAAAGAACTCACTGAAGAAGTCCACCTTTTTCCTTGCGTCAACCACCAACTGTCCCGATTTGTCCTGCAGGGGCCCTATGTTACTCTGCGCCTTCCTTTTGCTCGCTACGTATCTGTAGAAGGACTTTTTATTGTCCTTAATTGTTGTAGCCAGCCTAAATCTTGCACAAGGCTGCTGCTATAGTGGACTGTTTGGGAAGAGACAGACATTACCTGATGCCATATTTATGTTGTCACAAAAATTCCTATGGAAAGACAAATAGATGTCCATATCCTGTCATGATATCAGTGGTACAACAAGTGATGTTGTTATATAGTGCTACTTTGTTGCAGTGGACAGCTATTTGTTCTCTGCCAGGACAGTGCAGCAAACCTAGAGCTGTTCACACTCTCCAGGTGCCCTGGGCATGTGTTCTGGAGCCTTGAGGGGCCTGATTCTGCACAGACTGAAAATTCCCATGCAGGATTGGGCCCCTCAGGCCTCGGGAGCACCTGCTTGGCTTTCCTTACTTACAGACACGTGCCCTGGGAAATCTTGGGGTGCCTCTTTGTAAGCAATAAAAGTTGGAGTTCCCTGTTTATGAAGACCTTCCCTGGGATCTCCAGGGATGTGTCTTTAAGTGGGGAAAGCCCAAGTGGGCCCTTGAGTGGAAACACAGGACCTAGGACTTTCTTGGTACCCAGTGCCTCCATGCTGGGATCTGTGCTGGGCTCCTGTGATCCATGCTTTGGGAGTCTAAGGGGGGTTGGAGGGCCAGGGCTTGGGGACTGGCTGGCTGGCAGGCAGGCAGGCAGGCAGTGCGTGCGCGTGTGCGCGTGTGGGGCAGGGATAGGGGCTGTAGATTGGGAGTAAGGGGGCACCGACATGGCAAGGGGGGGCTTCAGGTTGCAAGTGAGGGGCACCAGCAGGGCCAGGGGTCTGCGGGTCAGGAGTGAAGGGCAGCAGCAGAGACTGGATGCTGTGGTTTGGCTGTGAGGGCCACCAGCAAGGCCACAGGGCTGTGGTTTGGACATAAGGGGCACTAGGGGGGGCAGGGGGCTGCAGGTTGTGAATGCAGGGCACTGGCAGTGCCAGGGGACTGCAGGTCAGGAGTGAGGGGCACCCTTCCACACCAACAGGTGTCCTCTTTTTTGGAACTGGAAACATGGTAATCCTAAACTGTCATTAATACTACAAGGATTTCTTAACACCCTCTGCCCTGCTAACAGGGAGCTATTACAAAACTGAATGAATCAAGCACATGCTTCACAGGTAATGAAGTGGTTCTGCCCAACCCCACCTTGGTAAAAACATCTGATTTAACTGAACATGCAGGAAATTTAAAGAAACAAAACGAAAGGAAATCCCAGAGCACCTTCTGGAAAGCAACTGGATCCAAACTCTGATGTACTGCTAGCAAAGACAAATTCCAGAGGGAGGATCTGCCACTGAAACTACCCTGTGCAGTACAAGGATCCTCTGTCATTAGTTAAAAGGGCATTCTTCTTCAGCAGAACTAACCTCCCTCTGTGTCGGACGGTCTTTGAAGGCTTAGAAGTCTTTGACTTAGGGCTTGCCACATCTCCATTTTCAGAGGGGGTAGTATCCTTAATAGGCCCTGGTAGAGGAGCAGGCTCATGAATGATCAGGATGTCATCTTTGTTGTGCTGGCCCAAGTGCTGCTTAGCGAAATCAAAGCCCTTCACACTGGGGGCTTGTAGCTATTATAAAAGAATGAAGAAAAAACAAAAACCATTTAGTGATGCAGAACACAAAACCTCAGTGTCAAGCTATGTTTGTTAAGAGCTGACAAAGGCCAGGATATGGGGATTTCAGGAGGAGCACAAGAAGTTGTACAGTGCATACAACTATATATATTTTTATACCTTTTTATACCTTCAAATGCACATCAACTGCAAAGCAACCATTCTAAGGGAAAAGGCACATTTTACTGTTACCACACAAACTAGTTTCCTCACGTTTCCATCAGAGGATCCCAGAACACTGCACAAACATTAATATTGCAAAGTTATTGCTTCCATTTTAGCTGAGACATTGCAACTGCCATATCACAACAGACCAAGGCAGTCGTTCCCTATGCCATGCAGAAAGTATTGCTAAGTCACGCTGCAGTACAAATTATAGGGTGGTGCTCTGGGGTGAACAGAGGGCATTTTAATTAAAGCAGCCCCTGGACAGCCGCTCTAATTAAAATACTGCAGCATGATGTGTACTCCACATCCCACATTTCAAAATGGCCCCAGGGGTGCTTTAACTAAAGCTTGTTCAATGAGTTTTAGTTAAAGCACTCCCGCCACCATTTTGAAACAAGGGACACTGAGTACCCGTGACAATGAGGCATGCTGGAGCAGTCTAATGAATTGAGTCTGCACTGATGCATTCTAATTAGAATGTGCTAAAGCATGTGTATAGGCACCCATACTGTTCAACTGTTTTGGGTGGGAAGTAGCACTGCAAAGGTGTTGTTCCAACTAGCACCACAAAGCTAGAGAGCTGGAAGCAAATAAGACATCTTCCTTAGAAGACCGTTGCTTGGGGCAGAACACCAATCTCAATGGAAAAGCAGAAAAGGAATGACAAGACCTGATAAAGCCACAAGATTAAAATTCTTTATTCACTTCTATTACATGATGAGTAAAAAGCAATGCTTATTCAGATAAGCAAAAGCCTGCTGAGTGTAAAGTCCTTAGTCATGCAACACACATGCATATATGTGCACACACACAAGCTTTAATGGGAGTTTTACTTTAAGGTTTTCAAAATAATGCGTGGCACATAACTAATCTCTTTTTTAATGATTTGTTACAGTCTCCTTTAACTTAATTCAAACCACACAAATTAGATATTCACCTGCTGAGTTTACAGATGTCAGAAAAATCATAAATGCTGTGATGCTGAATTTTAAATATACATTTTTAATTTTGCTTTTCTTACAATGTCAGTCAATTAAAAATGATGTCTGGAAGCTGAAAGTTTTTTTGGGGGGGCAGGGAATAAAACCTTAACAATTCTGGCTTTCAAAGTGCATGTATGCACACACACACATGCTCACACTGCACAATGAACATACCAAAAACTGTGTACATTCCTAAAACAGGTTTCCTGCAAACTGAAGCATGTGTCTGGGGATATTTAAGGGAGCATTAAGTTCCAAAATTTAAATGAAGCCTCTTTCATAAAGCTTGGCACATTGATGCTCTAACTACAAACAGGTCCGTCTGTTATAATGCCAAAGATAAGTTTGCTTAAGGAATATTTTGAGATAATCCCTGCAAAATATTTTCTCAATAAGCAAACATTTTCCAAAGGTCCCTGCAGGTGACCTTAAAGGGGAAGAATACACTATCTACTTAATCCAGCAGATGGTGATAAAAGCTCTACTTTGTAAAGACTCCTTGAAAAGTAAGAACATATTTATGACACATGGCTGAATAACAGTTTAGGGATTTATTTATTTATTTTGAGGGCAGAGGGGAGTGGGTAAAAGGAGGGGTATTTTCTTTCTTTTCTTTCCATCCTTCCTTTTTTTCCCCACAAAAGCAGAAAGTTTAACCCAGTGGTTCTCAACTGGGGTCTCACAGCACCCCAGCATGTTGCAAGTCCCTTCCAGGGTGCCGTGACACGCGACAGAGGCGGAGGCAGATCAGGGAGCAGTAGGAGTCTGCACTCTTCCTGCAGCCCTTTTCAAAAAAACCCTCTAGACTCACTGAACATGTCCTTTTTGAATGGTCTTAGTCTTCCACTTATCAGATTATCTTTACTGCTGCTTTTCTCTGGTCTGTTAGCTACTCAATGTTTCTTCCATCTCAAAAACACACAGCTTGAGGTAACTGTCTTAGATCTGAGGAAGGGTACTTGGTACCTGAAATCTTGTCTATATCCCTCCCAACTGCACAGTTGGTCCAATAAAAAGATATTGCACACAAAAATCCTTTACACTTGTCACTTCAAGTCCTTATTCTACATTCAGCCTCCTGCTTTCCAACACAAATGTTTTCTTCTTTAATCTCTTATAGCACCTTCCTAGACAAATCTCAGAACTTCTCTTCCATTCTCACTTGCTGCTATCAACTGCAGCAGAATTTACATTCTCTTTCTTACATTCTTATCCTCCTTTGGTTTTCATAATTTTGCCTTTTCCTGATTATTCCTCACCTTTTCCCAATTGTTTTTTCCACACCTCCTTTGCCTAGGGGCACGGGTTATCTTCCTTCCCCTCTCCAGAGTCCTAAGAAACTCAGGTTTTGCCTTCCTCCTCCCTTTTCCCTTTGCATCTTCTCTCTGGGTACCTCTATGAAGTCCACTCCTCTCACCAACCACTTGGCATTTTCTGCCTTGCCTCTTGGGAAGATTTTCTGAACTGATCCATGAGCCTCTAAAAGTGTGCGCGCAAATTCCAATTTTTTAAAGATTTATAGTTTGGTCAAATGTGGGCAGGTTTTTTTTGTCTGGTTGGTTTTTTTTGTTTTTTTTTGTTTTTTTTTTTGTTTTTTGTTTTTTTAAACAGAATTAGCAAAAGGCACATCCTTTCTGCTAAATCACCCATCCGATTGCCAACTGAGCTGTTGATCCAAAGCATTAAAGCACTAAAAATTCTCCCAAAAGTTGTAAGATCATTTTTGTACAGTGCATACAACCACATATTTTTTTCTCTAATTTCCTCCTTTGAAATGGCAGAACCCCTTTTTATTGGACCTATCAAAGGAAAAAAAAACAAGCCTGAAACAGAAGCCCAAAATTAAAATGTGGCAAAACTATATAAGAAACATGAAAATAAGACCTTCTGAAAAGCAATGCCAGGCAACCCTTAACTACACCTGTGCAATGCATATGACCATAACAGTTCTACCTACCTATCTTCACACATACAAAATATATTTCATGGGTTGTTTTCATATATATCTTATACACACCTACACATATGATCAGTCTAAACTTAAAACAGTCAGTCCTTGGTGAAATTTCTACCACCTCATCTAAACTGTCCATTAACAGAAATGTTTATTCATTGGCAACCATCAGTTTCATGAGACCATGGGGAGGATTGCGCCTTTGGCAGGTTTCCAGGTAGCACCACAGCTTCTTGAGTTGCTGAGGAGTCTGATGCACAACAGGCAAACCCTCCAACAGGTTACACATACAAATGCAGTTGAACTTGCACTGGCATACCAAGGACCGTTTTGCATTGCCTGCTTCTCACGCCTCTTCTATAGCTTGAGTCCAATGGCTGCCAATGAATTAACATGAGTTAATACAGTTTAGGACATAGAAACAATGCCTAAATAATTCCAAAATTTGGCAAAAAACTCCATTTCCATTTTTTCAATTTTCTGTATCATGATAACCTCATGACTTATTAAAAATGACGGTGACCAAAAAATTACAATATTTTAAGCAACAAGCATCTGAAGGCCATTGCAACACACATCCACATTCAGCAAGTCTAGAAGTCACAACACTGAGATACAGTGGAATAAATCAGTGTAGTTCAAGGCTGAAAATGCTGCTGGCATTTCTGTATTAGCTTTTGTGTACTACAGAGAGGACTTTCTTTCACATTATATATATAAAACAAGTGATAAACTATAGCAGGCTGCTCTGATTGGATGATCTATATTCACCTCTAAATTCTGGTAATCAGAAACCCGAGGGTGGAGTAGTAATTTCACTATTCATAGCAGCCAACCAAAAGGGCAAATATTTCTTGTTAAGAAAAAACACATTTGTGCTGGTATTGCTATCAGTCCAGGTACTGAAAACAGAACCTCACAATTTAATTTTATTGTCCTCTCAGCCTTTGAAAAAATCTTAGTAAAAATAGCTGTGAACTTGCAGGATAAGGGGAAAATCACGCCAACTAGGGTACAGAATGAGTAGGGTTCAAATGACCGTCTTCCTACTATAGCCATACAAGTGCTATGTGATCAGTTAAAGAAACTGGATGTATAAGTCAGCAGGACCGGATAAACTTCATCCAAGGGTGCTGAAGGAGCTGGCCAAAGTAATTGCAGAACCCCTGGTGAATCTCTTCCAAAACTTGTGATGCTCTGGTGAGATCCCCAAGGACTGGAAGAGGGCCTATGTTGTGCTATCTTCAAGAAGGGGAGGAGGGAGGACCTGAGTAACTATAGACCAATTAGCCTAACTTCCATCCCAGGAAAAATCCTGGAAAAATTCCTTGAGGAGTCTATGTGCAATAGGATTGCAGAAAGTAGGATTCTGAATGACAGCCAGCATGACTTCATCGCGAGCAGGTCTCATCTTACCAACTTCATCTCCTTTTATAATCAGGTGACTCGCCACCTGGATAAGAGAGAGAGGGTTGATATTATATACCTCGACTTCCAAAAAAGCTTTTGATCCGGTATCCCATGATGTTCTCGCAAGAAAATTGGAAGACAGTGGGCTTAACTGCGAGACAGTCAGGTGGGTAGGAAGCTGGCTGAGGGGACCCAGAGAGTCCTAATGAATGGATCTGTGTTTTCTTGGCGAGAAGTGGTCAGTGGTGTCCTGCTGGGGTTGGTGGTTGGTCTAGTGCTATTCAACATCTTCATCAGTGATTTGGATGTGGGGATGAAGAGCTCACTGGCCAAGTTCATGGATGACATCAAGTTATTGGGAAGCGTGGTCACTCTTGAAGATAGGCTGCAGATACAGGCAGACCTAGACAGGCTGGCAAGTTGGGCAGACCGGAACCAGA